TGAGATAATTTCACTGGAATCTACATGAGAAGCAATTCCCGAAATTGCCGTCGTAGCCCCTGAACGAGTATCCATTTGGATAAAATTACAAACTTTTCCAAACGCATTCTCAACCTTCCGAGAAGACCAATGCGAAATAACCTCTCCAACATAGTAAGATCGAGTCGCGGGATATACGAAATTAATACTGCTCAAAGCGTAGGCTACATGCGCGACCGCTGTTTTGCCATCCACGAACCTTTTACCACCATCGATGTATGCGTCATTAAATGAAATATTTGACTTAATGGATGACGTGGAATTCTCATTCAAATCCCCTACAGTTGTGGAGGATAACGAAGAGACATCGGAACTATCCAACTCGAGATTTTTGTGTTCCGCGATTAATCTATCAACGTCTTCATGCGTAAGATCAGCGAGCTCGCAAAGAGGTATAGAGTCTGTTATCTTGGACAGAGCAGAAGCGTTTCCCGCACCAAGATTTTGTTTAATCAAAGCAACATTATCGATAGCAGTAGATACATTTTTCGGTATACTTTCAATAATATGTTGCCTGAGTTTTCGGGCGACTTGTGGACCAGTTCCATTTGTAGATATGGCAACTTGGAGAAGACCATCCCGATATGTTGGCATAAACAGAAAATCACATAGTTGAGGTATTTCGGCGACATTAATGGGTATTCTCATTTCACGAGCGATTGAAGCGATCTCGTTTGATAAATTCACGTCGTCAACAGCGGAAAGAATGAGGTCAACTGGTACCCCTGTTTCGTCCACCAGGTGTTCTTTTTGAAATCTGCTATTTTTATGCGTGACCACACGTTCGGTAATATATCTTCTGATATCATCTGAAGAGACCTTATTAATTGGCGTAATCAGAGTTACCTTTCGTGGCTTTGCATCCAAAATGAATTCAACCCGGTTCGCGGCAATTTGATTACCACCGACAATAAGGACATGACGACCTTCCAATCTCCAGCCGATTATTAACGAGCTACTATTTTGTTTACTCATAACTTCGTGTCAAAATGACTCTCGTGAAATATCAAGTTTTTCTACATAAAGGCCCGATATTTAAAGCCTTGCTGCACGCTTGATAAATTTCATCTATAGTTACACGAATTTCCTTTTTGACATTATCTGACAAATTTTTTTCTTCGAGTGCTAACACATTTAAATTTAGTGTAATCATATACAAATGATGATTTTTTTGGTTGGTACGGAAAGAGCCGGATTTTTTCACATGAATCGCAAAACATTAACCAATGCAACTTCGTGAAATATCATGCCCGAGGATTAGTAATTGATTTTCTTCTTTTCTCTAATTTACTATGAGCTTATGTATTAGTAATGCAAAAAAACGAGTTCTTTGAATTTTGAAAATTTACGATCAATATTGAACGTTGACAGTTCCTCTCTAGAATTTGAAGAAATTTAAGATCGAGATCAAAAATAAATGCTTTCGAATCTCTCGTGATTCCTTATAAACGCGTACATACGCACGTATAATGTATTCTTCTCTATCAACATGAGCCATACATAAAGCAACTATAACTTGTAGGTGCTTTATATACTTTCCCATGAAAGTGCATCTTTCTATATATATTATGATCTAAAGAATGTGTGTCTAAGGAGATGAGAAAATTTCAAATACTTTGTATCAATGTTGTTAATTGGACTACTTTAAACCTAAAAATTGAATCATTTGACTATATTTCCAAATTGAAAATACGCCTATTTAGTTCAATTGACAATTTTGTATATACTATACTCACATTATATACTATATATAGAAGTATATTGAATATAAATATTTTTAGTCCGGAGCATAGTGAAGGACTATATATTTTTTTCTATACATTTTTGATAAAATTGTCCCCTGTATTGGTGATTTTTGCATATCACACCTACGTCATTCCCGTCAATTTTATTGTTCCTGTTTAATTAAAATAATTATTTGAAAAAAAAAAAATCGATATATTTTTATAAACAAATATAAATAAATATAAATTATTATGAAGTAAAAGTAATTGTGCCTATGGTTAATAAATTTAACATTTATATTTTTTAATTATGTAATTTTTATTGTCGGGAATAATGATTTAGTATATTTTTTTTAATTTTAAAGTTTACCATTCAAATTTTTATATGTAAATTATAAAATTTGTAAATTTGTCTTTAAGAAATTTTTTTAATTTTTTTAAAAACTTCTAAAAAATTTTAATAAAATTATAATAAATAATTACTAATTGAATTTTGGAAAATATTAAATAAAAATTTATTATATATGAAAAACACAATCTTTTATATGTGAATTTTATAATTAAATTTATATAATAAAAACATAATAAAATAATATAACCTTAAAAAATTAAAAATTAAATATTGTACTAGTAAATATTTTCTTTATTTTATATAATTCAAAAGCTTAAGTATTATACTTTTAATAAAATATTTTATTTTTGTCGAGTTTTATTAATAAATATATTTTTTTAATATTAAAATTTACCTATTGAATTTATATATATACTATATATTTTTATTATGAAATAAGTTTTAAATATTGTTTTATGCAAGTACTATATAAAAACACTATTTCTTTATTATTTATATATTAGAAAATATATACTTGGAAATAACTAATATTTTTTATATGTAATTAAAAAAAAAACAAATATTTTATAATAAAACTTTATTTATTTATTTATTTTTAAAGTAAAAAGGCAATTTATATTTGATTTTTATTAAATTTAACTTTAATTATTATATCAACAGTTTATACTAGCTAATATTATTACAACTATATAAATTAATTGTAATTTATTTATCTTTATAATTTACCTATATAATATTTATACTTATATATGAAGTCCATATATTAAGTAGAATTATTTAAAAAATATGAGTTTTATTATTAATTTAAATTATCTAATCTATTAATTCAATTTTATTAAAGAGCATCTGCTTTACAAGAATTATATATAAAATAATTGAATATTTTTAATATTTTTTATTCCAAACTATTGAAAAAGATAGTGTATTTAATTAGTTTAAATTAATACTGTATATATAGATATTAGTCTTTTAACAAATTTATTTATTATATCTCGACTTTAACTTATATAGTGATTGAACAAATAAAAATTATAATAGAGAATATATACTTTTTAATAAATGTTTCAAAAGTATTATTCTTTAATTAATATTAATTATCAAATTTAAAAACTATAATTAATTCAATAAAATACAATTTCAAAATCTTCTAATAGAAATTTTAAAAACTCTTAATTAATCTAAACTATTAAATCCAAGAATACAAATATTAAACAAAATGTAATTTCTATATAAGTAATTATTTTCGAAGGTAAACTGGAAATTTTCTGACATGATTCTAAAATTTATATTATATATATATTGTTTTAAAAGTTGGATCCAAAAAAATCATATCTAGCATTTTATTATTTTCAAAAATAATTACCCATATATCAAAACTATTTAAAAATCTTTTTTTTTTTTTAACGTTGATAAACATCAGTTCTTTATTTTCTGTATATATTAAATATAACTATGAGAAAGAACCTATATCTCTCACAATACATGAGTTAAATGCTAGTTTACCAACAATGTCTATCTAAACTATATTAGAAAAGAAAATTTAAAACTAATATATTATTTAGATAATTGCACGACAGGCTGTGTAATTTATAAGAAAATGAAATAAAAGTAAAGTAAAAAAAATTCTAGTACATATTAATATTAAACAGAACTTTTCACATCATAAT